GGCGCTGCTGCAGGCGGAGCACCCGGCCGGGCAAGAAGAGCAGGTGTTGTTGGCGCTGTTGGCGAAGGTGCCCGCCGGGCAGGTGGCCCCGCAGGAGCTGCCATTGAGGAAGCTGCCGGCCTTGCAGGCCGTGCAGGTGGTGGCCCCAGTACAGGTGGAACAAGTGGAGGGACAGCCCGAGCAGACCCCGCCGTTGGGGTAGAACCCGGCCGGGCAGGCGGTCACGCAGGCGCCCCCATGCAGGAAGTAGCCGCTGGTGCAGGCGCTGCAGGCGCTGGAACTGGTGCACGAGACGCAGCCCGCACTGCAAGCCGTGCAGACCGCGCCATTGGGGAAGGTCCCGGCCGGGCAGGTGACATGGCAGGAGCTGCCATGGAGATAGCGCCCGGCGATGCAGGAGGTGCAATACGAGGCGCTGGTGCAGGCGGAGCAGCCACCGGGGCATGCTTGACACCGGCGGGTGCTGCCATCGGCCCAGGTGCCGCCGGGGCAGGCCGACACACAGGACGACCCGTGGAGGAACCAGCCAGCCGCGCAGGAGCCACAGCTGGACGCATTGCTGCACGTGGCACAGGACGAGTGGCAGGCAATGCAGGAAGACCCATCGGAGTAGAAGCCATCCGGACAGCTGTACACACAGGCGCCCCAGTGCTTGAGGGCCCCCGGCATGCAGACATCGCAGCTGCTGGCGTTGCCACAGGTGTGGCAGTTGGCCGGGCAGTGGAGGCACACGCCGTTGGACAGGAAACGCCCGGGGAAGCACATGGCACAATTGTAGGGCGAGGAAATCATCATGCTGCAGCCATCGACCGTTGTGGCCCAGCAGTATTCGTTGACAATCTCGATGTAGATGGAGGGCAGGTGCGGCGGACACTGCGCCACGCAGGGGGTCACATTGTTGTCCTTGAGCTGGTAGTAGCCGCTCTGGCAGCCGAAGCAGACGCTGCCCATGCAGGAGTTGCAGTAGGCCCCGCAGGAGGCGACGGCCAGCTGGCCGTCCTCCGCCGGGGGGGGCCCGGCCTCAAGGCGGTCAGGCGCTTCGCCGGCCGCCGGGCCGGGTGCCAGCTCCAGCGGCCCGGCGGCCGGACTTGCCGACGAGGCCCGGGGCCCGGCCAGCAGCAGCAGCAAGCATGCCGTTGCCACCAGGGCCAGCAGCGTGGCCAGCGCCGGGGGGCCCGGGCGGCCGGACGCCCTGAGCATCGGTGACGCGGGCGAGGGGAGGGGGGAAGGAGGAGAGCCGGGTGAAGTCTGGCGAGGGCGCAGGCGAGGGGATGCGCGGAGGGGGGTCAGTGTAGCCGGGGGCGGTGGCGGGAGGGGCGCAGGGGGCGGGGGTGTACCTCTCCACGGGGGGCCGGAGGAGGAGCGCGGGGGCCGGCGAGGGGCAGGCTCAGTCGGACAGATAGGGGGGGGGGGAGGGCAGGGCAACACGACCGCAGGCGCAGGTTCTGGCCATGTGCCGGCGGGCTAGTGCCGCGGGCCGGCCACTCTTCGGGCAGATCTCCACCATGGAGTGATGAGACAGGCTGGCAGGGGCGGGGGCGGGCGGGCGCAAGGCAGCCCCGGCGTCGGGCTCACCCCGGTCGCCGGCGCCCGCTCCGCCTCGGGCGCAGTTTGTGGCACGGTCACATCGCACGATATCGGGCGCCGGTGTGACGCGGGGCCGATCGATCCAGGAGGGGTGCAAATGAAACACGCCCCCCAACCCCGGGACCCGACCCCTCAGGGTGGTCATTCCCGGCGACCATGCACAGGGTAAAATCCGAGCCAAGACATGAACTCCGGCCCAGGCTCATTTTGTTTCCTGCTGCTCCGGGGCGGCGTGGCGCGGCCGGGGCGGGCAGCCCACGTTGCCGCTGGCCGGGGGGCAGCCCACGCAGGGCCTGCGCGACTCCGGGCCTGGCCCTGCGGAGGCCAGTGGCACGCAGGGCCCGCCCCCCGTGTCCCCTCCGCCCGCGTGCCCATGACCGACGGCCAGCGGCCCGACGCCCGTCCAGGGCAGGCCGGGCGGCGCGGCCGAAGGCCGGGGGGCAACGGGGCCGGCAATGGCGCCGAACGGCGGCCCGTGCGCCGCACACTACGGGCCCCGTCCGGCCACCTGCCGCACGGTCAGGGGTCATATGGAGGGCCGCCGGGGGGGGGGGGGGGGAACGTGGGGGGGGGGGGGGGGACCATCAGGCCAGGGGTCGCCGCCCGGGCGCCCGCCTGAGTAGTTTTCCGCGAGCCCGCGCGCGCGGGCCGCCGGCGCGGAGAGGCCCCGACACGCTGCTCGGGCTCGAGAACGGCCCTGCGCGGGGGTCGGAGCGCGGGGCCGGCACCAGCCCCCCGGTGCGCAGCACCACCGCCGGTGTCCCCCACCCCGAGGCAACCCGGCGAGCGGGCCCGGGGCGCCAGGAACGGGGTGCCCGAGCTCCGCCACGCGGCGTGCGGGCGCGCGCGTCCTTCTCCGGGGGGCGGGAGGAGTGCAGCCCCCTGTGGCGGACCCCTTGGCCCACAAACCAGGCATTCCTGAGAGGGGCCGCAGGGGGAGGGCAGGGCGTAGCGAGGCCAGCGGCCAAGGAAAAAGGCCCAGGCTCTTTCTTGACCCCCCCCCCCCACCCCCGGCCCCTTTTGAAACTGGCCACCAGGACACCCGGCGGACGGGGACCGGACCTCGGGGCCGGCGGCGGCGCCTCTTCCCTCATTCCGGGTGCGGGGTCCGGGAAGAAAAAAAAAGGCCCTCCCCCGGCCCAAGGGGGGGGGGGCACAAACGTGCGCAACACGCATGTGCCCGTGCGCGCGAGAGAAGCCGCGATCCAAAAGACAAAAGATAGATGCATCACCGGCAGGATTTGAACCTACGCGGGCAGAGCCCATCCGATTTCTAATCGGACTCCTTAACCACTCGGACACGGTGATGTGAGGTGCCAAGCCACGCTCTCGCTATATGGCCCCTGCCCCGGGGAGGGGCCGGCGCCTGCACGGACACCCGCGCGCCGCCCCGCGCGCCTCCCGCCCCTGACGAGGCGGGACGGGGATCCCCCCCCGGGCAGACCGCCCGGCCGGAGAAACACGCACTATCCCACCCCGCACGGGGTAGACTGCCCCCCGCCCGCGCGCCCCCCCTCAGCCGAGCGCCATGGCGCGCATCGGTAGCATATTATTCGACTCGGCCTGGCCCGGCCCGGCCCGGCCAGGATGATCGGCGACAAAGGGCGGGCGAGCCCGGGAGGCAATGCGCGTGAATGGCATTCCCCGCAGGAGTGGCACCCGATGCGTCTTGATCATGTGCCGTGTCTTGCTGAAACTCGCCCCCATCCCGCACCCGGCCCCCTTTTTCACGGCAGGCCCTCGTCGGATTGCGCACCTGAAGGCGAGATCCGCCATTGCACCGCCACGGAGAGGACCGGGCCGGTCACGAAGGACGCGCGGGATCTCCTCCCCCCCCCTCCGGCATATGCCACCGCGTCCCCCCAAGCCCCGCGTATCCCCCTCGCTCCTGCCTCCGCACGTCGCCCCGGATGGAGACCTCCTGCCCTCCTGTCCTCTACGCCCCGTTCCCCGCCCCCGCCGACGGTGCCCCCCTCGGCGCATGGCGCATCCGTGGCCAGGTGTGCAGCGCATGAAAAGGGGTCCATCGCCACCGAGAAGGGCCCACTTTGGCCGGCAGGCGCGCGCGCAGACACACACAAAAACACAAAAACACAAAAACACAAAAACACAAAAACACAAAAACACGCTGAGCGAGAGGCATCCATTCCCCCCCGGGACGACTGGCGCCCGGAAATCCGAAGCCAAAGGGGCTGCCTACTCCGACAGGGCAAGGGCAATGCTCGACATGGATGGCCGGCTCGCGGGCGACGCCGACCACATGCAGGGAATCAGGTCGGAGACCAGGACGCGGAGGCTCGGGTGTTGGTTTGGCGCCTCGCCGGGCGGCGGGCCATGCGTGGCCGGAGTGTCGCCGGCCGCATGGCGACATTGGATGGCCTTTTGGGAGAGCCCTGTTCTCGGGGCGTCAGCGCGGCAGGCGAGCAGGCCGGGGCAGGGTGAGCACCCAAGCGCGACGAGGCGCCACAGCCCAGGGCGCGAGGCCAGGCCGAACGAAAGAAGGAACCCCGACACAGCCCCCCCCCTCCCCCCCGCTCCCCGTGCTCCCCGCCGGGGGCCCGGTGGGGAAATCAAAATGCCAGACACGCACCACTCCACGGCATAGTCAGCGTCAGCACATGCCAGAAGACCGAACCGAGAGAATAGACATCGGCCGCCATGTGATCGAAAGCCGCGATGTCCAGCGCATGGTTACCCATCGATGCCAGGATCTCGGGCGCCGCGAAGGCGATGCTGCACGCCGCGAACATGACCGAGTCCAGCAGGGCCGAGCCGCGGCTGACGGCCAGCGACACGCCGAAATCCGTGAACACCGGCCGCATGGCGCCCGTCTCCGGGCACAGGCCGACCAGGATGTTCTGCGACTTGATATCCCGATGGGCGATCCCCTGCGCATGGATGAAGGCCAGGCCGTCGGCTGCGGGACGCCAAGCAAGACTGTCAGCCAGGGAAACCATGCGCGCGCGCGCGCGCGCGCACGCACGCACGCCAACGGAGGCGGGAAGGCTCTAAACGCACCCATCCCCCGGATCAGGCTCAGGGTGTTGGCCACGTCCAGCGGCTCGTTGGTTGTGAGCAGGTTGCTCAAGTCGGTGGCCACTCGGGCCATGACGATGGCCGGCGGGTGCTGCGTGTACCCGAGCATGCGCACCACGTGGGGAGACTGCTGCAATGCCCACAGGATCGACAGCTCATTCTCGAACATGGCCTGGAGCTGGGCCTTCGAAAGGGCCCCCCCGTCCGCGTCTAGCAAGGGCGCCTCCGAGAGTCAGAAAAGGCGGGAATGCCTCGGGCGGCGCCGGGGAAGGGCCAGCACAGAGGCCCGACCGGCGGATGGAGGCCAGGTGGTGAAAAGCGCGCACCATGGGCGACCTTCACAACGATCCCATCGGGCCCGGTGGCCGCGATGAGCGATGGCTTGATCGGCTCGGCCGGGAAGATGCCGCCCTGGCTGCCGGTAGCCTCGGGGCCGGCATTGCCCAGTCGAATGTCATGCTGGAAGGACAGCAGCAGGAAACCGGGCAGCGATAGATCTTGCATTTGCCCGGTCGACCGAATGGGTGAGGATCCCACAGCACGTGCGCGCATGCGCACGCATATTCGTGCATATGTGCATATACGTCCACACACAAGCGGACAGACAGGTAGACAGACAGGCAGAAAGACAGACAGGCAGACAGACAGGCAGACAGACAGACAGGCAGACAGACAAGCAGAAAGACAGACAGACAGACAGACAGACAGACAGTTAGACAGACAGACAGACAGACAGGCAGGCAGAAAGACAGACAGGCAGACAGGCAGAAAGACAGGCAGAAAGACAGAAAGACACACACACAGACAGACAGGCAGATAGACAGAAAGGCACACACACACACACACACACACACACACAGACACACACACACACACACACACACACACACACACACACATAACCATAATCATAACCACAAAAGAAGACAGATGAAAGGCCCCCGTGTGAGTCATCAGCCGAAGGAGAAGCAGCAGGCAATCCGGCTAAACATACCCATCATCGTGTTGAGAATGGTCATGTCGATATCATGCGCCTCCTTGGGGCCGGCATGGCGTCGGCGGAAGACACAGAAAACAACCAGCAGGATGGCCAGCAGCAGGAGCAACACCAGCGACAGGCCAACCGCCAGGCCGATGGCCAACGCACGTCCGCTCTTCGGATTGCACGACCCATCCACCTCGCACCAGGGCACCTGGCACTCGTGGGCCCCCGGCCCGGTGCAGGTGTGGCAGTCCGGGGCACAGGCCGCGCACACGGGCTGGCGCTCGCCGCCCGGCGGATCGGCGAAGAACCCCCCGGGACAGGCGCCCAAGCAGGCAGTCCCCTCGGCCTCCGAGTGGTGTAGCACCATGTTGGAGTTGCACCGCGAGCAGGCTTCCGCCTCCGAGCAGAGCCGGCACCCGGGAATGCACGGGTGGCATACCCGCTGCGAGGGGGTCGACTCGTCCAGCCAAAACCCCTCGGCCGAGCAGCTGGACACACAGGCCCCCCGGAGCAGGATGTCCGCCGACCCGGTGCAGGACAGACACTGGTCGATGCTCGCACCGGCGCACGTGTGGCACGAGCCATGGCAGGCATCGCATCGCCGGGTCATCTCCTGGACAAAGTACCCGATGGGGCACTCCGCCAGGCAGGCCCCGCCCGGGGAGAGGAAGCTGCCAGCCGGGCAGGAGGAACATGCCGACGCGCTGCCCGGCGCATTGCACGACTCGCAGGACTCGTGGCAGGCGGCGCACAGCAGCATGCCGGCCTGCGTGCCGGTGCCCATGATCGCCACCTCGCCGGCCTGGCAGCCGACCACGCACTCGCCGGTGGCCACGCGCAGATAGTGCCCCGGGTCCTGGCACCGAACACAATGGTCGATGCTGGCGGCGCACCGCGCGCAAGGCTCGGCACAGGGGGTGCACGTCATGGCCCGATCGTCCGCCAGGAAGCGCCCCGGGCACACGGTGTAGCACATGCCGGCCGCATAGTCGGCATACTGCCCCGGGGCACAGACCGTGCAGACCCCGGTCCCGGGGGCGCACTCGACACAGCCGCTGCCACAGGGGCCGCACTGGGCGCCGCTCGCCGTCGGGTAGTACCCCACCGGGCAGCTGGCCACACAAGTGGTGTGGAAGAGCAGCTCGCCCGGCCAGCAGCCGGTGCAGTCGCTGGCCGAGGACCCGCCGGAGCAGGTGGCGCAGCTGGCATCGCACGCCCGGCACTCGCCATGGAGGACGTCGGCATACTGGCCGGCCGGGCAGGCGGTCACACACTGGTGGGCCAGCCCCCCGGGGGAGGCCATCCGGAAGGACCCCCGCGGGCAGGCCGTGCAGTCCCCCGGGCCGGGGCCGACACACTGCGAGCAACTGGCATGGCACCTGGAGCAGGCCCCGGGCGAGGATTCAAACCAGCCGACCGTGCTGCAGGCATCGCGGCAAGTGCCATCCTGCAGCCGCTTGCCGGCCGGGCAGGCGAGGCACTGGTTGCTGCCCGGGCCGAAGCACGCGTCGCCGCAGTTGCCGGAGCACCGGGCGCAGTAGCCGGCCGCCGTCATGGTGGCGTAGCCCGGCGGGCAGGCACCGACACAGAGGCCATCCAGCGCCAGCCCCGGCGAGTGGCACACCATGCAGAAGGTCGACGCGTCGGGCATCCGCCGGCACAGGTCGCACCCGGGCTCGCACTCGACGCACTGCGACGGGTCGTTCATGCAGTCCGGCACGCACATGCCCTCGGCCAGGGGCGGGTCCACCGGCGGGATGGGCTGGCGGATGGTCAGCGGGTCGTCGCAGGCGGTGCACTGGTCGGCCCCCGGGCCGGCGCACGCGGCGCACAGCGGGTGGCACGCCAGGCAGATGCCCTGCGGGGCGTCGCCCGGGCCGACGCCGGCATACGTGCCGGCCGGACAGCCAGCCAGACACTGGCCCTGGTACAGGACCAGGGCGCTGGCGCACGTGCCACAGGTGCTGGCCTCGATGCAGGTGGCGCAGCCGACATTGCAGGCGGCGCAAGCGTTGTCCCGATCGAAGTAGCCATCCGGGCAGCCCTGGCCCATGCAGGCCCCCTGGTGCAGCGGATACCCCGGGGCGCATGCGGTGCAGGTGGTGTCGTCCGGGCAGGTGGCGCAGTGGTGCCCGCATGCGGTGCAAATGCCGCCGCGCGCGAAGAACCCGCTGGGGCATTGCGACAGGCAGGACGTCCCGTGCAGGTTGAAGCCACCGGCGCAGGAGGTGCACACATTGGCCCCGGTGCAGGTGGTGCAGTTGGCCGGGCAGCCGACGCACGTGCGGGACTCCGCGTGGGCGAAGGTCCCGCTCGGGCACTGGGCCACGCAGCGGCCCTCGCTCAGGAAGTAGCCGCCCTGGCAGGACCCGCAGGTGGACGGGCCGGTGCAGGTGGCGCAGCTGGCCGGGCACATATCGCACGCCCCGCTGGCCGCATTGGGGAAGGTGCCGGCCGGGCAGTCGGCCGTGCAGGCGCCGCCATGCAGGAAGTAGCCGCCATGGCAGGACCCGCAGGTGGAGGAATTGCTGCATGTGGCGCACGGCCCGGGGCAGGCCGAGCAGGAGCCGCCATTCGGGAAGAAGCCGCCCGGGCACTGGGCAACGCATGTGCCCTGGTGGAAGAGGAAGCCGCCGAAGCATTGGCTACAGGAGCTGACATCGGGACAGATCTGGCAATTCGCCGGGCAGTGGAGACACGCCCCCCCCTGCTCGGACAGCACACGCCCGGCAACGCACGCCGTGCAGGTGGACATGCTGCCGACCATGTACGAGCAGCCATCCACCTGGGGGAAGACGCAATATTCGGTGAGGACCTCAAGCAGGATGGCCGGCAGGTGCCCGGGGCATTGGCTGACGCAGGGGTTGTCCAGCTCGTTTTTGATTTGGTAAAAGCCCGTATTGCAGAAGTTACAAATGAGGCCGGAGCAGTTGGCGCAATTTGGCGCGCAGGACATCGTGGAAATGCCCTCCGCCGGGCCGGCAGGCCCGCCGGCCCGGGCCCCGGGCGGCAGGGACAACGCGGTGGCCGGTGCCGGGCCCAATGCCAGCGCCAGCACGGCCGCCGCGGCCAGGACCACCACCGCCAGCAGCAGTGCCGGCACCCGGAGGGGACCTCGAGCCGGACCGGACATCCTGAGAGATCCGGCGGAGCAGACAGGCAGCGACCTGCAGGCGGCGGCCACGAGAGGCGGCGATCGGCGGCAGTCAGGTGCGAGGGAGGGGGCGGGGGCGGGGGCGGAGGCAAAGGGCGAGGATGCGAGCACGCGAGCGACGGGAGGATTGGCGGCAGGAGACCGGCACCGAGGAGGGGGGCCGGAAAAATGGGCTTGCCCTCGGCCCCCCCCCCCCCCGGCAGGGGATCCGCCAACGCGGCAGCCCCGCCCAAAAGCCGGGCCCGGCCCGCCGGACTCCCCACACAAGCTCACACACACACAGGTAGATGCCGACGTGCGCATGCTGGCCGCCCTGCACAGCCGGTCCCGGGCCGGGCCGGGCCGGGGGTGGGGATGGGGTCGGATGAAACAGCGCCATCAGGCCGCGGTCAGCCGGGCGCGGGCCCCGGCCCCGGGCATTCCTCCGGGGCATGATCGTCCGGCGGAAGCTGTGACTCCGTGTGTGTGTGTGTGTGCGTGTGTGTGTGCGGCTGTTTGTTGCATTTTTCCACCCGCCAACAGCGTGGGCCTCGAGCCCGGACCCCGCCCGGCTGGCGGGAGGGGCACCCGGCCGGGACCAACTGGCAGGCAGCGGGGGTCCCGGGCCAGGGTACAAATACATGTCCCCGGTGGGCGATGTCATCGGGACGGGTCTATAGCTCAGTGGTAGAGCGGTCGACTGCAGATCGACAGGTCCCCGGATCAACCCCGGGTGGGCCCTCGCACCTCTCTTTTTGCGCCGATGCCCTGCTGCCGAAAACACGCCGCCACCAAAAAAAGGACGCTGACCACGATGCGGCTCGAACACACAACCTCCTGATCCGTAGTCAGGTGCTCTATCCAATTGAGCTACGCGGCCATTTCCGGTGGTGCACACCCGCGGCGGGCCATTTTTTGCCGCACGCCCCGGGCGCGCCCCCGCTGGCCGAGGCCCACGCACAGGCTGCTCCGGGGCACGGCCGGCCGCCGGGGCGGGAGGACCGCCTGGCAGGGCATCCCCCCCCCCCGCCGGAACACGGCGCCGGGCCCGGCGGACGCCGAGCCGGCCGCGGGGGCCAAGCAAAAAGCACCCCGGTGCCCTTGTTTCAGGACCGACACCGCGGGAATGCCCGACCGGGGGTGGAACGCCATGGCGGCCCTCCGACGACGACGACGACGACGACCCCGGGCGGGAGCCGGGCCGCGAATGACCCGACCATTCCTGGCCATCCCAAAAAAAAAAAAAGGCAAGGCGGGGAGACAGCGCGAGGCGGGCCGCGCGACGCCAGAGTGGCGCGACCGAGCAAACGGCGACCGCGGGGCCGGAGAATGCACCCTTGCGGGCACAGGGCGGCCGGCACCGCCGGGTTTTCCGTCGGGCATCGGGCGGAAACGAACGGGGCAGCTCATTTGCGTGATGCATCGCGCGAGGCCCCGACGAGGGGTAGCCCCCCGCCCCCGGGGCTGGAACTTTCCGGCCTCCGACCGACCTGGCCTGACAGGAGCCCGCGCCGCATGGGGTCGGGGCGCCTACCGGGGGCAGCTCGCTTGTTTGCCGGAAATACTTCGTCTTTTTATTGCGCCTTTTCTTTGCTCGACGCGCGCCACGTCCGTACCCGAACAGGCCGCGGCCCCAAGAACATTGCCAGCATCCGAATGCTAGAGAGCAAGGGGCCACCTCGGTGTAACTGGGTTTCCCCTCAGTTACATGGGTCACGGGGCCAATCTCCGCGGGCCATTGCCACCGGGCCAGCGTCCTCTTCCCGGGGGGGGGGAGCGATGCGAGGCCGGGCCCGCCCTGTGTACCCCCCCCCCCCCCCCGGGCCCGATCGAGCTCGCGCTAATGCATCCCCGATGGCGGGGGATGGGCGCACGCGACTCGCCGGGCCCGATCGCCGGGGCCGCCCCGCTCTCCTGGCCGTTTGATCGGGTCTGGGCGGTTGAAATGGCGGCCTCCTCGCCGGATGCCCTCCGAGATGGGGGTCCTCAGAGCTGCCGCGCGCGTGGCGCGCATGCAAGCGGCCCCCCCACATGCACCGCATGCAAGGGGAGCGCACATGGCCGGCGGCTTGCCCTTGAGGCCCCCCTTTCGGTGGGTGGTATTCCCCGCACTTGAGCTCTGCCCGGCCGCGCGATCCAGGAGGCGGAGGGGGGCCGTCGAGCGGCGTGTTGGGCGATTGACGAGGCCCCCTTCATGCGGGGTCCGCGTATGTGGCATATTTGCCTCGTGCCAACAGACCACCCCGGGCCCCCTGGCCCGGTCTTTGGTACGCGCGAGGGCCCGGCCACGCCGAGTCGAGGAGGCACGCCTCCTGGTCGATGGCCCAGTTGGGCTGCCGGCGGCCGGTGTGAGGGAACTGCCTCTGGGCGCGCGGACAGGCCTGAGTGCCCCGGGCGCCGGTCGAGGGCCGGTGTGTTGTGCCGTGGCGTGGGCCGGAGCTGGCTGGCTGCGCGCAGGAGGGTGGGGGAAGGGCGCCTTCATCAGGTGAGGGAGCGCCCGATGAGAGCACCCTTCCCGAGCGGTGCGCGTTGCCAAAAGGCTGGGGACCGGGCCTCCGGCTGGCCAGCCCGTGGGGCTTTCCCCGGTCTTGGCCCAAGGGGGGGGCCGGCGAGCAGCAAGGTCCCTTCGGCGAGCGGACGTCCTTCCGCGACCGCGCGGGAGCCAGCCACGATTGGGTGGTGCGCCGGGTATTCCAGGTCGTCGGGTGCTGACTATGGACGGCGGCGCGAGATCGCTCGGCGAGGGGGCCGACCGCATTGATGGCCCGCCTTGTCCTGTTCATGGGTGGCAAGTGCCGTCCAGAGGGAGGCAGCCCACGACGCTTGCGGTTGCCGGGCACATTCGGCCCGGGCCCGAGGCGTCGACGCCTCCTCCGCCAGCAGTCCCGCAGCATGGTGGCGAGACGCTGCTCCGGGGGACAAAAGGCCTGGCAGTTGGTGGGCGCCCTTTCCGGCCGACCCTGGCAGGCGGCCGGGAGCCCCCGAACCTCGCGTCCGGAGGCGCCAAGGCCTCGAGCATGGTGCTGGGCTCGCCAGCGGTGTGGAGGGGAGCGTGGTCTGATGAGACGGTTGGCTAGTGCAAAGCGGTGCCCCGAGTTCGCGGGCAGTGGCTATGGCAGTTCAGGTGGTGTCAAGGCACGCGGGTGCTTTGCCTTGAAGGCATGTCCTGCACGTGCGGGCGCCCGGAGGCTGGGGCCTGGCTGGCCGGATGCCGGAGGAGGGTGTCTCCTCGGCAAAAGACCCCGGCAGGGGGGGGGGGTCCCCCAGCACCCGTGGTGGTGTGGATCGACCCCGGGCAGGGCAGAGTCAGGGGCATGTGCGATGCACATGGCCAGCTGCCTGCCCCTCTCCCTTGGCCAGCCCCTCCGAGGCCCGCCTCGAGCGTGGCCGGGTGGGGAAGGACCAGCGCCGGGGCGTGTGGCAGGCGGCGATGCCGGCGGCATGTGGCCGTGTGCGCGGCGCTCGGCGGGCTGAGCTGCGTCCTGCCGCGAGGAGTGCAGGGGGCCGAGCTCCGGGCGGAGGGCGAGCTGGGGCATGGGTGTCAGACGCCCGGAGCCGTGGGCGCAGGTCGCACAAGGCTGCGAGCACGCCCGGCGCAGGGGCGGCCAAGTGTCGGGCCGGATGCCCCGGTGGCTTGGGCGCCCCCATCGCGGGGAGGGCACTTATGCGGTGCCCTCGAATGGGGGGGGGGGGGGGGCTGGACCTCGGGGGGGTCGCTGGCGCCGGCCTCGGCGCTGTCCCATGGTACTGACGGTGCGTGACCGAGAGCGTGCCGGGGGGCCGGCATGGGCGTGGACGTCTGCTTGGATGGCGGCTGTTTGCCAGCCTCCCGGCGTTCCTGGCAGCCGCAGAGGAGGGGGGCGGTTCGCTGTGCACCGGTCACCCTTGCGGCCGGCCCCCGTGGGCGACCGCGGGACTGGCGACGGGAGAGGCGCCGATGGTTTGGGGGAAAAGCCACCGCCGGGGCCACCGGGCCAGCGAGTGGCAGCCCCGGACGAAGGGCTGCGGAGAGGCTCGAATCCTGGCCGTCCGGGGGATCGGCGCGCGCGCGAGGACCGCATGCCGGCGGTGCGAGGCCGCCCGTGCCGAGGGGGGCCCGGTAGCAAATGGCCCCTCCCGCTGGGTGGTGGTGGCGGCGGCGTTGATGGTGCCACCCGGAGGGCGGAGGGCCGGTCGAAGGCCGCGGGGCACGCAAGGCCGCCAGCACGGGCATGCGCGTGGCCAGCGGCCCGTCGGGGGTGGGCGGGGGGGGGGGGGG